TAACCATTGTTAAATTACATTTTAAAATGAGCTCTTTTTAGTGACTATACACACAGATATGTAAGATATACATGTAAGCTATGAAGCTCAAACAAATCTGTTGAAAGTAGGTGTGGCACATGTCAGGGGTTGAAAAAATATATTACTTGTTTTAACTGTATTCATTCAGTGAACTTTGAGATGTACGAGTCAAAAAGTTATGTAAGCATCTTATTGTCTCGGCGCACCTCTACTCAACTAACATTGTATTATTGAAGATGCCAAGAGCCAAATTAGAGAATTTTTACAGGTCGTTGGTCACGTAACATTATATCTGAAGTGTTAAGTAGTTTTTGAAAGTTTAGTTTGAAATAAAGGATTGAAAACTTAGATAAAATAAAACTTTGAATCATAACATACATTATAATATTAATTTCATTCACATACATAAAGAGTATCAGTTTTTAGTTAAGTTTTGGATTTAACACAGTGATTTGCATAGAAAAGCATTTATAGGGGCACCCATTGCATAAGGGTTAATGTATGTTGTACAGTTTGGTTTACAAGATTCAGAATGCTTTTGTTACTTAGATGTTGTGAAAGCTTTTCCACAAGTTTTGAAGAACATTTAAAAGACTAAGATGTATCTTTGGCAGGTTATGCAAAGCAAACTTAAAGCTAAAACCCAGTAAATGCCAGTTTCTATGAAAAGAATTAGAATATTTATGTCACATGATAGCCGCAGGAGTAAAACCTGACCCAAGAAACTAGAGGTTTGTAAAAATTACTTGATACCACAAAAAGTAAAATATATCTGTGCATTTGTGGGATTCATAGGATTTTATAGAAGTTCTATCACAAACTTCATGTTTATTTGTTTGTTTTCAATTTTTCGCTTAAAGCTACATGAGGGCTATCTACGCTAACTGTTCCTAATTTAGTAAAAGACCAGAAGGAAGGCAGCTAGTCATCACCACTCACTGCTAACTCTTGGGCTACTCTTTTACCAATGAATAGTGGAATTAACCATCACTTTATAATGCCCCTCAGGTTACGAGTCAAGCACCCTAACCACCTGGCTATGCTGGGCCTACATTTCGTGAGTCTAGCAAGACCCTTAACGGAATTAACCAAAAAAGATGTATTACGACAGCAGAAGTCATGTGACGCTGGTAACACATGATGAGTTTCAAGAAGGATCATGAAGGCTCGAGTGTTTGCCAGATGCCCTCTATTTTTGTATATATAAGCCCGGCAAATAAAGTGGAGAGTAGAAGTGACGGCATAGATAATTCCAGACAGGCAGATAGAGACGGATAATTGAGTCAAGCGCGGTAGTGACCGTAAGTAAAGTGTGTGAATCATTGTGAATATAGCACGTGTTTAAGTTAAAGTGACTGTGGAAATTAAGTGTATTGCAATGTTGTGTTGAGAAAAAATAAACTAGTTTTATTTAAGAAAGGACTTGTATCGCTAAAGTTTCATCGGAAATAAATTATACGGGAGATTAACAAACGAAAAGAGACGAACAGATGTAACATTTTGCTGGTCAGATAAAAGAAAAGAAGCATTTGAAACACTACGAGACTCATTATTAAAGGCACCAAACTTAAGCTACCCAGACTTCAGTAAAACATTTATTTTAAGTACAGATACTTCAGGTTTTGGTATAAGCACAGTTTTGTCTCAATTAGACGAATAGGGAAAGGAACACCCTATAGCTCATCACAGTAGACAGCTAGGGAAAAAAGAATTACTCCGTAACCAAACAAGAATGCTTAGCTGTAGTGCATAGTACTAAAATCTTCAGATGTTATTTGTATGGTAGAAAATTTACAATAATCACAGATCAGGCACTCTTGAGATTGCCAATGACATTAAAGGACCATCGTCTAGATTAGCTAGATGGTCATTCTACTGCAAGACTATGATTTCGAAGTTATACATACACCAGGTAGAAAACATACGAATGTAGACACCTTAAGAAGAATAAAAATTGAAAATGTAGAAGAAAATGAAAAACAAGCAATTCATAAAATTTCAGAATTACAATCAGAAATTTAAGATATTTATGAGATATTCTGGAATTTAGACCATGTTATTAGTGAACAGAAGAAATATGAAATGGTAAGTGCCATCAGAAATAAACTATTACAGGGAGAAGATACAGAATACATGTCAGATAATGAAGTGCTATGCAGAAAAATAGTAGATAAAGGGCATATGGATAAGACATTACATATACTCGTACCTCACATTTTAAAGTATTGTTACGACAGCGGAAGTCACGTGACGCAATTAGTATCTCGAACATTCCTGAAGGCTCGAACTTTTGCTAGACACGCCCACTATTTTGTATACGACCGGCAAGAAGTAACAGCAGAGAATAATTGCAGACAGAGAGATATAGAGACAGATAATCGAGTCAAGCCACAAGTAAAATGCGTGAATCGTTGTGAATTCTACTGTGTGTTTAAGTTAAAAAAAAAAGATTGATTCCAATAGTCTTGCAACAACCAATGTGCGTAATATTGTTCACCAGCTCTGGGCAATTGTGTGCTACAGATTCTCTTTTAATAACTTCTCCTGTCCATGGAAAAAAACCGGGTCGAATTTATATGTTAGTTTGTTCTTTTTTTTTAAGTTCATGTTTTCATTTAACATAGCTATAGTGATAAAAAACAAACAAACAAGGTAAGCTAAACTTTTCAATAGTTAAAGGTCCAAGCCGCGTAATGTCATGGTATTCATTGATAGTTAAATGTCCAAGCCGCGTAATGTCATGGTATTCATTGATAGTTAAAGGTCCAAGCCACGTAATGGCATGGTATTCATTGATAGTTAAATGTCCAAGCCGCGTAATGTCATGGTATTCATTGATAGTTAAATGTCCAAGCCGCGTAATGTCATGGTATTCATTGATAGTTAAATGTCCAATCCATGTAATG